GCTACGACATGAAAAAATGCCAACTCTGAAGAATGGTGATTTTACACTATGTAGAGAAACTGACCACCAGTTTCACAGCCAATCTTGTTTTAGAGTAGTACATAAGCAGAAATCTCAGAATGGCGACTGGAAAGACTATTCATAAACTAAGTTTGACCTCTGTAAGTCGCGATTTCGGCTAAGTTGCAGATAGTTGGATGGCTCCCAACAATGTTGTTTTGTTTTCTGCGGACATAGACGATGTCATGTATTTCAAGAAAGAAAACGTACTATAAATAAACCCATGTGTGTGTATGTGCTTTTTATCCATTTTCAATGCATTTTCATGAGGACCTTCGGTAAGTTGTGACTCCTGATATGTTTTTGCTTGGATCCCGTCACCAGCGACTTAGCAAGGAGTCCCTGTACTGCAAATATGTATGCAAACAGACATTCACACTGGACACAACAAAAATGCAAGTGTTGAACACCTGGCATAACCTCCCACCCCCACCCCAATGTCTGTTGATGTGGCAGTGATAAAACACAAAAGTGAATTTATTAAATCAAAAACACAATTTGGTCGGATAACATGATCTGGTTGGCATCTTGCATCTTCTGCATAGCATCGTCAATTTCCACGTCTGTAAACTTGTTACTTTCCTGTTGCTTGTTCACTCCATGAGTGATCTGATCAACTGTTAATGACTGGGCATGCTCGGAGGAAAACAGCTGGAATAATGATGATTTAAACTCTTTCATTCTGAAAACAGAAAAAATATTTGTAGAAATAATAATGTTAGATAATGTAGTCTGAAATGTATATTTGTGTTTATATTTTACCAACAAACTATTTCACTGTAGATGTTTTCCCCAAAGAAACATTGCACCCCCCCCAAATATAATAACACAAAGAAGCAAATTATCATTTTTAGCATTTTTGTGAAATGTAAAATCCGTTTGTGGCAAGTTTTCATTAATGATTTATATCTTGGCTATGCAAGTCATATTCTCTTCTTACAACCAGCTGACAAGCGTGTCATTTCACTAACAATCCATCACTCTTTCAACAAGCATGTAATGGATCATTAACTCTTTGGACACAAGTAAACTTTGGCCATCATTCACAAAATTAAACCCACATAAATTTATTTCATATTTTTTTTACAAATTTTGTTCAACATTGGTAGGCAATAAAAAATTACATTTATTTTGGTCAAAATTATCAAAGAACATCAAGAAAATACATACAAATTTGCAAAATGTTGAATATAATTTTTGGTGAGAGAACATACAGTTCCCATACATTTGATAGCACATGTATAATGA